GGTTACTTCAAGGAGCTGATGAGTGCAAGGAACAGTGTGAAAATGGGCTGGGGAGCAGAGGGCGTGTACTCTGTGGTCTAAGGGGGCTGAGGGGGCTGAGAGTGTGGCAACCTTGAATGGGACAGGGGAGGGCCCATGCTATGGAGGGTGAGCCGTTTCCTGATTTACCTGGGACTATCTTGGTTTTAGCACTGCTGAACCCCTCAGTCCTGGGCAAACAAAGATGGCTGATCACCCTATAGCCATGCTAGGCAGACACGCAAGACCATGCTCATAGGTGTCCCTGCTACAATGCCAGCCTTTTTTCAAGGCCTCACACCTGTTCCATTTGACCCGAGAGGCAGGTAAGGCAGGTAACATCCTGTGGAACAGATGGAAAAATCAAGGCTCAGGTACACAAAGTGCTCCAAGTCACCCTGGGGAAGGTGTGGCAGAGCCAGAACCTTTCTGCCTACCTGGTAAGGAAGAAGTCCCTGGGCCAGAAGGCCTGTCTTTCTGTGGCCCCAGCCCCCACCTCCCCTGCTGTGTGACGGAGGAGGAGCCACAGCTACTCTGGCCTTCATTCCTCTCTTCACCAGGGAAATGAAGAACTCTTTCTTGGGGAAATGGTGTCCAGAGGAGCTAAAGTCAACTTACTTAGGAGCAGGTTAAATGGGGTAAGACAGCTGGGGAAGTGGACACAAAGAAACTGAGGGATTAGGGATCATTTTGGGGTCTAGCAGACTCAGGAAAGGAAGAGAAACAAAAGTGTTATGCTCAGAGGGGGGTAGCATGTGGGGACTGGATAAGGAAAGATGAAGGGAGGGGAGAAAGACTTTCAAAGAATGAATGAAAGAAATGAGTTATTCCAGTACGGTGTGGTTGCAGAAACTACACTGAATCTTTGAACAACCCTTGTCAATTATTCATCTGCTGGTATGAGGGCCCCCTGGTCTGCCACAAATCTCTGAGTAGTGGAGGAAAGGAGGGAGGGAAAATGAGGGAGTAAGAGAAAGAGAAAACCAGAAAATCAGAAAGAAATAGAGATAGCTAGAGAAAGACTGAAGCAGGGAGAGACAGAAACAGCGAGGGGGTGGGGAAGAAAAGGAGGAGGGAGCCAGAGAGAGGAGGGTAAGATCGTGTGCTGGAATTTCTGCACTCTGTTTATCCAAAGCATAGCTCACCTCCTCCAGGAAGCCTTCCTTACTTCTCTCTCTCTTTACTGAGGTCTCACCAGATGTGCCCAACAATGCTGGGTAGGTGTGACACTTAAGAAGGTACATTGTCTCAGCCATGTCCCTTTGCCATTCATCCTCACCAAATATTTGCTGGGCACCTGCTCTGTGTCACTCTGCTGTCTCTCGTCTCCCCAGGGTACGGCTCAACTCCTGCTGGCTGGAGAACTTCTAGAGCTCAGAGCCTTGGCCTCTTCTTTGCCTCAGCCTTCCTTCATCCTGGCTCCCTGCACAGCTGGACACAGCTGGGCACCTGGCAGGGCTGGGAGTTTCTGACTGGTTGGAGGATTGCTGATGCAACTGCTGAAGACTGGGGAATCAGGCACATGGCTGGTGTTTTATAAGCCCTGTGTGAACAGAACCAAGCCTGTCTGCACACAGCATGGAGTCCCTCATCTTACTTGCTCTCCCCTGGTATGTGTGAGGGGACATTGCCTGGCTCAGCATGTGATGAGCTGGGGGCGTCTAGAGGTGAAGGAGGATGCTTGCAAGTTGTTAATGTTTGGAGACCTGTCATGTTCAGAATGCCTCTCACTCTTTGCCCCACTTTAGGCCCACCTCTTTCAAAAGACTTCCTGGGCTGCTCCAAAGGGTGGTGAAGGCTTCCTCTAGCTCTGCCCAGGCCCAGCACTTGACTCAAGATCACACCCACGGGACCTGACCCCAGTGGTCCACTCAGGACAGGAGCTTTGCACCACATTGACAAAATGGTACTTGAAATGCCTTTGTCAACACCAAGTGTCCTGGATGAAAGGAGCCCAAGATGGAAGAATTGCCAGGATCGCAGCCCTGGAAGGAAGATGCTTCGAGGACATACGAGGGGGAGGGTACCCCAGTGGGGCTTGGTGGGGCTGCAGGGATGGGACGGGCAGGCCTGGTACAGCAGAGAGCATCCACAGCATCCTCCCTGAGGAGAGGGTACAGCCTGCATCTCTTCTACTACCTTCTCCACCCCCAAGGTGCTTCTTTCTCCAGAAAATATTCAATTTCCTATTCAGCTGCAGTAGGCTCTGAAGGAAATCAGAGGCTAAATTATTTCTTGGGCTCTGGGGAGTGTGATACAAGACTAGACATAGACAAACACACTCCAGGAATCAGGTGATGCTGAGGCTCACGGCCCAGACAGAGTGGCCGAGAGCCCAGGGAGGTGGTTTGGGCCTTTGCTCACTACACTGCCATGTCCCTGGGGCCCACTGCTACACCACGAGGCCCTGCTGCTGGTGACTGCTTCCTGACTCACGTTCAGGAGCCACATACCTTGTGACCATGCTGTTTCCACCAAATGTGTCTGAGTGCTAATCAGTTATCTTCTACTGCTCTGTAACTCTGTCTACAGCTTCCATGCCACATTCTTAGCTCATCGCTATGTTCTGTGGCCGCACCTTCCTGTAACACAGTGCTGTGTGATAGCACTGGATGGCTTGGGTCTATTGCTATGCAGCTGCACTCTGCTGCTCCCTGATTGTGTCCTCATGCTTGTCACTGTGTTTCTTGGTTGTATGAGCTCATCCACTACTACGTAATTTTGTTTTGTTGCTATGGAACAGTGACCTATTGCTACATAATTATTCATGATTGTCATGAACATACACTCCATTGTTACCCACACAACTTCTATTGCTTGTGACTGTGCTCTACTGGCCATGTGAATATTTGTCTGGGTCCTACTTTGGTCCTTCTAGGTTCTGGCTAGTTGTTAAGAGCTGGAGCTGGGTCTGGGTCTTCAGGACCCAAAGAGGACAAAGGGTCAGGATGTGTGTGTGTGTGTATGAGAGAGAGAGAGAGAGAGAGAGAGAGAGAGAGAGAGAGAGAGGAGAAATAGATGAGAGAAGAGAGGAGAAGGGAGAGAGGAGAGAGGAAAGGAAGAAAGGCAGAGGTGGGAGGAGAAATGAAATGGAGCTGAGTCAGGAACAGGTTGGGGCCTGGACAGGCTAGGATGGGAAAGGGAGAGAGGCAGGCCCTCTGCCCTGAATACTATGTGTCTGAGGCACCCAGTGGTATCATGTGGCTTAAGGGTCCAGGGCTGGGTTTCTGGGCCTTTATAGCCATCTGGTATTCACTTGGTTATATGCAAGGCAACATAGGGTCTGGAGCCTTGGGCAGGGTCATCCACCTCATCCTTATTGCAATCTTTGTAAAATTAGGAGTTCAGACTATATGCTCTTGAAGATTCTTTCTGATGTACTTCCTTTCTAGCCTGGGCTTCTGTCACATGACCCAATAAGCATTTACCTACATTTGTGTTGGGTCACACCTGAACTGAGCCCTGGAGCCAGTGTGCTTTTAGTTCAAAGGCTGAATGGTGGTGGCTGAGTGAACCTAACCTCAGAGCAAACCAGGGAGAGCAGCCGGTGCTTGTGGCCTTGCCAGGTGCCCAGCAGGGAAGGTTAGAGGGACCAGCCCACTGATGGGTGTGCTAAGGTGGTGTTCAGAGAGGACATGCTTTAGTTCCCCATCTAGACCCACTCACAACATCTCTGACAGTCTGTGGGTATGGGGCAACTCTGAGCCCCCTTTTTTGTACTCAGAGCCTCACAGAATCCCTCTTAGTGCCTTTGGGCCACTTATTTCTCCTCCTCCCCTCTGTCACTCCCAATGGTTACTCAACCTCTTGCTTAAAAATGATTCTTCCGCATGGCTAACCTCGACTTCTCAAGATGCTGTCTTGTCCCATCTCTTATGGTTTAACTCTTAAGGGAAGATCAAGACAAATTTCAGGCATTGTTTTACTCATGCTGTCCAAAGTCTCCAAAGACAGGTCTGAATTTTTATTTCCAACCCAACTGATGCTTGAACTAGAAGGTCAGGTCAAAGAACTGCTTTCCTGAGAGGCAGAGGTGAGAGGAAGGAGTTTAGAAGGTAGCCTGAGTGCTCTGGCACCTGCCAGGGAAGGCCTTGCTCTGAGATGGACAGGGGTGCTTCATGTGGGAACACCCTAGGCACACCCAGTGACAGCAACCCTTCCTATTGGTCCAATGAGACATGTTCCAGAAAGGTGCAGAAGTGCCAGGGGGAGATGCGGAAGCTGTTAGTAGAGAGGGGCAGATCCTGAGAGGAGAAAGCCCAGGGTTTCCCTATTGGCCAGTAGCCTTGGATAGGGCTCTTTTATATTCTGGAGCAATGTTCCCCATGGGATCCGCTGTGAAAGAAGGGAGGAAGCCATATTTGAATTCACTCATGGTCACTGGGGTGGTACCTCAATTAGGGACTTTGACTGGACTGTCTTTTTGATGGCCTGCACTTCAGCCATCTGCAGCAAGGGGTTAGAACCTAGCACTGACCTCTCACCAAATTAAGACACCACCTTGGCCACCTTCACCAACTCTTTCCCAGCATCTGGCCACCTGGCAACAGGAAGCCATGCCAGCTTTCATGATCAAGGACATAGACTCTGTGACTAAAAGTGGTGTCCTCTTTCCTTTGAGGCTCAATTCCCTCTTTTAGAAGCTAAAACTAATTTCTCAGGGCTTCCCATTACCCAGTGGACATGCTCCTGAGGAAGTTCTGAGTTGATGACTACTTGAGTAAATGGAACCAGCTCATACAAGTGTTGTAAGATTTGTTTTAAAAGAAATCATATGGCCTTTTGATTAAAAAGATAAAGAAACCATGTAAAATGAAGAATCCACACCTTCTAGTTTAAATTTGGGTTAACTCACTTATGCCCAATGGGAGGTCTACTTGCCACCTGAGGAGTGAACCAGGCCCACAGGGGCAGTCAACCTCTTCCAACTCACCCCTATCACTGCTCCAGCCTTCCCCACCGTGGGGGAGGGAAACACTCACCACTTCATGGGACATCTGAGGCTCTTCTTCTGCTTCCTGATAGGTGGATGTGCTGGATTTCATTGTGGAGCTCACTGTGGCCTTGGACCAGGACTCATGGATGGAACCCAGCTTCTCATCTAAGATCTGAGGGTCCAAGATGGGCAGAACCTTGTTGTTGTTTGGTGTTAAGAAGTTTTCTGGTCTCTGGGAAGAGAAAATGCAGAGAAATTTCTTTGTGCCTCTCTACCATAAGTGCACCTTCCACACCCCATGGCTCAGGAGGTCCTGCATGTCTGGTCCCTGTCTACCTCCTGCCCTCTTGCTCACTGGGCCTTAACCACACTGTCCTTGATGTTTCTCTAACAAGCCAAGCTCTTTCCTGCCTCTAGGCCTTTGTATCTGCTGTTCTCTCTACCTGGAAAGCCTCATGGGACTTTACATGGTCATTCCCTTCTCTTCACTCAGGTCTCAGCCCAAATGTGATTTTCTTAGATTTGCTCTTTGAGATAAGGGCCCATCCTATCTAAAGTAATCCCTCCTCCAATGTACTCTTTCTTCACATTATACCATTTTACTGTGTTCATAGTAGTTTACAAAAAAAATTAGCTTTCAAAAAATTTGTTCAGTTGTTTACTGTCTGCCTCCCTCCTCCAACCCCCACACTGAAATGTAAGCTTTTTGTAAGCAGGGGCCTTGTTTATCCCTCGTGTCTTCCTCATTGTAGGTGCTCAATAAATACTTTTGAAAGAATAAATGATGCCATCTATGACTCCCTACTCAGTGCAGGAAAAACAGCTTCTAAAATCTCAACACTCCTGTGATGCCCTTTGCTGTGTAAACTTGTTTTCCATTCCATCTCCTCTGTGATTCTTTCCCCTTATCACCCATTAAACAGAGCACTCCACCCCCATAGTCTTTTCTCCCCTTCCGTGTCTTGTTTCTTATTCTCTTCCTCCTCCCTTGGCATGACTTCCACTCTCACCTCTGCTTGTCTAGAATTTGACTCCATTAAAATACTAGTCCCTCCAGGAAGCCTAAGGGCCTCTGCCCACACTTGCTCAGAGTTTTTCTGGGTTCTTCCAGCCCAGCTGCTGGCTCTCTCTGCTCACATTGTTCTCTAACTCCAGGCTTGATTGCCATTTTTATTTTTCTAACAAAACTTTAATTTCCTTGGACTCAGGGACATGTCTTATGCTCTCTCTGGGAAGAGGTTACTTTAAAACTCTATTGAAAATTCATATTTAGCCCTAAAAAGTGCCTATTGTTCAAAGAATCATGCAGTGTCAAGTTTGAAGGGACCTCAAAGCTGACCCACTTCCACCCTACATCAGCTGATGGGATTCTGTCTTGGCCACACAGCAGACAAATATGCCACTGTCTAGAGTATTGTTCTAGAAGTAAACAGAAAAATGGGCACAGTGCCAACCAGGACAGATGTGTTCAGGGTTAAATGTGCTCGAATGTCTGACCCTGAGCAAACAGAGTGAGGACTGGGTACTCTATATGAAAACCCACAAATATGAATCAGATGAATTCAGACAAGGATCCTTCACTTTACCACTGGGATCCTTTAAATAATGATTGCTTTATGCCCTTTAAAAATAAAATTTGATGTGCAGAAATTCATTAATATGAAGCTTGTTTTGGTAGAGTAAGGGATAGCCACACAAGTACAGAGGTATCCAGTGCAGTCTGGCTTCATCTCCCTGTCCTGTCCCTGTCAAATGGGTACAAGGATAAATAATTCCAAAGAGAAAGCAGCTATATAAAGATTCTTAAAGTAGGAAGAATGAAGCTTGGGTAACCGTGGGGCTGACTATGTCACCTACTCCAAGTCAAAACCAAGACTTCTGGGATTGTTTTGTCACTGGGCATTAGGCCTGGCTGTCTCTCTCACCTGCTCCTCTCAGTAGCTTTGGTGCAGAGAGGGCAGGATTCACTCAGGGGCTCCTCACTGACACACCCAGTGCCTCAGTGTAGCATCTGAGTCAGATGGTTTGGGGATTTTGGGTTGTCTGTTTTATACAGGAAAAAGTACCATATCTCTCTCTTGTTCAAAACAGCTGAACACCAGATTGGCTGCAGGGGAGAACGGAATGCACATGGATGGATGGATGGATGGATGGATGGATGGATGGATGCAAGAGAGAATGAAGGAAAGACTAACTCCCCATTGACCAAGTTGCCCCTGGGGCTGGGGTGAGATGCTGATTCAGGACCCATAATGACATTTCTCCTCATTTCCAGGCAGTGAGCCAATTTTGATGTCCTGGATTTCACAGACTGCCATCTAATTCAGTTAGAGGAGGAAATAGATGTAATGAAATCAGGGGAAAGGTCTCCAAAGGTGCCCTATCCTTTCTGAAAGCAGGGACACAATGCTGAGGAAGTCCCCTCTCCCACAGCCTGTGTCTCTGACATCCACCATGTGTGGCCTCAGTACCAGCTGGGTCAACTCAGTGATTCAGAGCTGACATTTACTGAGCTCCTGACTGGACCTGGACATTCACCAGGTACTTTTATGTGTATTCTGAAGTTTATTATGTATAATTAATTTAATTTCATTGCAAAGATAAAATAAAAATGAGACTGACCCTATCCAGTCCAGTGCCTTTACCTCCTCAGTCTCTGGTGGGTGAGGTGTGTTCTGAAAGGAGGGAAACAGAGCATCTATGGACTATATACTGTCCATTACACTTCCTCCTGACCCTCAGCTGCTCTTTCTGTAGCCAGGCCAGCCCTAGTGGGCCTGCACTGCTCTGCTCTCCCCATGGCTGGTTCTGGCCTATATCTGCTCCCACAGCCGTTTCATGCCAGCACCTCCCCACCTTGCCTCTGCAGGTCACCTGCCCACCTTTCCAATCAACTTTGCCAGGATCTATTGTGGCCTGGGGGTTGGGGACAAGGTGAGTGGGTGACTTTTGTAGAAAAGTCTTTAGACCTCCACATAGTATAGGCCCCACAAGGTAGGCCAGAGGGAGTTGCTCTTGTCATATGAGAGAAAGGGCACCAGAAAGACCACAGTGCCTCACCAAGTGCCTAAACTTGCCTTAACAGTCTTTTACTCTCCAGGCTCCTCGGCTTCAACCTGCCTTATTTTGGGAAGGGGATTGCACCCTCCCCTCCTTGTTACTTATGGGATAGGAGCTTGCTTAAGACTAGAGGGAGGGGTCAGGCTGCTGGAAGTGGTGGGTCAGGGTGGAGGATGGGGGAAGGGGCAGTGCTAAAATGGGGATGGGGAGAGGGTGAAACCTTGGGGGCTAACTCTTCCTTATTCAGGTCCAGCCTTGCTTGGCTTTCCCCCTTTCCTCCAGGTGAGGGTGGGAGTGGGGGCTGCTGGCCCACCCCATAAGCCTGATTACTTGTTTTTCTACTTGGTAGGTCATACCCTGCTTACTGAGGCAGTTTGGGGCTGACAAGTGGCCTCTTGTTCTGTGGCTCCATGGCTGCAGCATGTCCTGCTTCTTTAGGGCTGTAATTGGAGACCTACTTTGAAAGCTCAAAGCAATGCATAGACATGCATTGGCTCAGACTTGGAGCCCAGCCCACCACTCCTTGTGCTGCTGCAGCAGCTGCCCCACACCATGTAAGTGCCATGGTGGGGAGAAGACACCCCTTCCTTATGCCTCTCAGCCCTCACTGTTGCCTGCAGGAGGATCAGTTGAGACAGACCAGGCCAAGAGCATCTCAAGCTCAAGGTTTTTTGGGCCACCTGTTTTCCCCTCCTCCATTTACATCTTCTGCTTCTCTCCAACCCACTCCATCCTCCAGATCCTTGATCATGCAAAATACAACAGTCCCAGCTTGCTCTGGCAATTACACACTAGCCAGGTCGCAGCTGCTGTCCTTGGTGCTGAAAGTGTCCTACCAGGCTGCTTGCCTCTCACCCCGCCCTGAGCCTTCCTGCTGGAGTGCACAGTTCTTAATTCAATTAGCTGGTCCTGAACCCTCCCCAGGGAGCCTGGAGCGGAAACTGACAAATTCTGTTTAACAAAGACATTTGTCCCAGCCCTGCCGGCTTTGGGGTTTGCCTGCCCGTATCCCTCCACCTCCTGCTGATTAGGTATCTAACGAAGTGCGTCCCAAGAAATCTGCTTCCAATCTCTAGTAATTCAGGGGGACTAATGCAATTTTCTCCCTGATAAGGGTGTATCGCCCGCTGGCAGTCTCCATAATGAGTCCTGTACAGCAGCTCCCCATCAGTCACTGCTTTGTCATTTCCTGTTGCCGAAGTTGTAGGTTCTTATCTCTTCAGCTGAAGGCAAGGCTCAGACAATAGGCCCCTCCAAGAGGTCTTGCTGCCTCCCCTGTGTGTGGCAAGCCTGCATAGTCTTGCAGCTGCCATGGAGTTTGAAGCTCTGAGTCTGTGAGCCAACCAAGGAAGACCCAAGTGTTAATCTTCACTGGGGCAATGATTCATTCTTCAGAAAATGATGTCAGAGGATTAATCTAAAAGCTAGTTGTAGGATCAGGGGAGAGGAGCCAGTGATAAAGATTTTTTTAAAATTCTGGCAGGAATTCTACTATTAAATAAAGCCTTGTCTATGGCTCAGTGGATAGGCTGTGAGATCATCCTTGTAAGCCTGAAACCTGGTCTTTCTGCATTTAATATTTAAAGAAAAATTTTTTAAAATTTTTGTTTAAAATATTACAATGTCCCCTTTTCTCCCTAATGACCCATTCCACCCCATTCCCTTCCCCCTCCCCAGTCCCTCTCCCCACCATTATCTGTGTCCTTGGGTTGTGCATATATGCATATAAATTCTTTGGTTACTCTCTCCCCCTCCACCCACCCGCCCTCCTCTGACATTCATCAGTCTCATCTATGCTTCCAAGTCATTGAATCTATTCTGTTCATCAGTTTATTAAATTCTTTAGATTCCAAGTATAAGCGAGATCATGTGATGTTTGTCTTTCTCTGCCTGGCTTATTTCACTTAGCATAATATTCTCCAGGTCCATCCATAATGTCCCAAAGGGTACGAGATTCTTCTTTACAGCTGCATAGTATTCCACAGCTTTTTTATCCACTTGTCTACTGATGAGTACTTGGGCTGTTTCCAGATCTTGGCTATTGTAAATTGTGCTGCTATGAACATCGGGGTACAAATATTCTTTCTGACTAATGTTTCAGGATTCTTAGGATACATTCCTAGGAGTGGAATCACTGGGTCAAACGGCAGCTCCATTCTTAATTTTTTTAGG